CTAAGTGTGTTAGGTCTAGCCCCCTAATCCCACCAGGAGCGTCTGCGCTGCGTTGCGGCGTTTTTAGCGATCGCGGCCACTCTAGTCAATAGGTGCTATTCCACCAGACCCGCGGCTCGAAGCGTCCCAGAAGCTCCTCGCCGCAAGGAATTTCTAAAATATAGGATGAATCCTATTTTTGACGCGGCGCAGCGCGGCGCAGCGCAGCGCAGGCAGGAAGTGGAATGTTCATCCAACAACTGCGAGGCTGCACACACGACGCTCCGCTTCCGCAACGTTTTGAAATGCGCCTGGTGGGTTATGACGCAGGAGGAGGTCACAGCGCGGCGCAGCCGCAGCGCAGACGCTTCCGGTGGGATCAGGGGGTTACGGCCCGTCCACACAGTGGGTTGACGCTTGCCGGCGGGCGTGTCTGAAACTCGACCAACAACCAATCACATGAATCTCCCGCCCCTGACACACAAGCAGCGGTTTGATTGGCTAGAGCTTGTACTGGCATATGATTCGATTGGCTGACGCTTCTGCCGAGGCGTCAAAAGCTGAACATTGCTCAACTTTTGAAGCGAGCAACGCCAGCAACGCTCCACGTCGCTTCCCAAAATGCAGTTCGGCTAAAAGTGACGTCACCCCATTCAAAGTGAGTGGGCAGAAGCATTGGAAGCTTCAACGCACGCCGCTGTGTGGACGGGCCGTTAGTGTATTTTGCTCCACTCAACGGTGCGTCACAGCGGCGGAGCTGTGATCATGCAGAGCTGCGTGTTCTCCGTCAGCAGCAGCTGATCTGATCTCTGATCTCTCTCTCCCGTCCGGTTAGACTTCACTCCCGTTTATGTCCAAATCTATCAGATCTAGATAGTTCTAGCTAATTATATGACTGCCTGCTTATCAAAAGGACCTAAATAATAAGCGTTGCTTGACAACGGCGTGTGGCTGCAAAGTATAGCGCAGCATTATGCATATGTTTATATGAGGGGTCAAAATCCCATGCTCATAAAATGCTCATATTTTTTTCTCTTCATTCCCCACGCCCCAAAATAAATAAATATACAAATTTTAGGAAAAGTAACGAAGTTTGAGCAGTGTGGGTTTTATATTAACAGAGTTTCACATATTTCAAAACGCAAAGTGTAATAACTGCAGTGGCCTCCCTGTCAGAATGACAAGGATCCTCAGTGAAGCACAAGCCCATGTTTCATGTAAGGACAACTTATTAAAAAGATCAGTTCAATGCAACTAATGCCGTCTTAGTGTTATTGCACGATGTTAAAATTTGAAATGTAGCATTTAAGTGTTTCTCAGTTACAATGTTGTTGTTTTAATAAATCAGACACTGATGGTGCAGCGCTGTACTGTACCTGTTTATATAGGCATTTTTTCCTTAACAAATTGTTTTTGCGCTGATCAGGGGGTACGTGGCTGAATTTTTTTTTCAAAGGGGGTACATGATTGAAAAAAGTTTGAGAACCACTGATCTAAAGCATTCAATATATCAATGAACTTTAATTCCCAAATGATGTAGTCCAAGAAGTACTTTCCAACACTAAATCTGATTCATTTTCTGTAATTAGACTTTACACATAGGCTACTGTACGTTGAGATCTACATCTTATTGACTGTGCAGCTCACTTTTTGTGTCATGGTAGTTTCTCGACAGCTTGTGTCTTGTTTTGATATCGCAGATTGTAATGAGTTGATTCATGATGTGATTCTAGTGTATTGTAGTGCCATTTTGAAAAGTAAGCATATTTGGATTAAGATCGGGATAATATGGTTGATTTGGCCTGGATACTCAGTATATCAAACTTCACATCACTTTATCTCATACAATTCCTAACAGAAGCCACTATAGTGTGTATAAAATCAACCTCCTACCATGTCTACCTAGCCAGTAACATCAGTGACGTTAGTAGTCTGAGTCAACTCTTCTACAACTACACGTCAGAGCATAAAAATAGTCTTACCATCAGCACACTCGTCATAGTACCAGTCCAGCTCGTAATAGTCCCCCCTCACAAACCTCTGCCCTCTGCTCTGGCCTCCTCTGTTCATCCTCACTGTTTCCAATGTCCCAGCATGCTTTGAGACAACCAGTGGTGGCTGGGGTCTTCCGAGTTACTGATAGTGTCCGTTACTCAGTCAACTGTCCAGTTCTGCTCCCCCAGCATGCTTAGCAGCTCCCAGCTGGCACACAGTCATTATTAGTGAGAGCCTGCCCATTCTCATCATATGTCCCATTTCTGGCCGACACTCATTAGCAGCAAAGTGTCAGCGTGTTATGCTCCATATTTCCCATTCCATTTCTGCGTGTCATCCCAGAAAACCAGTACTTGCGTCATCAGTTGTCAGCAGAAAAAACACAGTCACTTTATTATCCTTTTTTCCCATGGTTCATTTCAGCAAATGTGTCGCTTATTTAGAACCAGTCTGTGTCCTCTGGTTTCTGTCCTTTATGCCGTCCATTGGTTTCTCTCAGTCACTCCAGAGCTTCAGCATATGTACCAGCCTCTATCCTCTCACGTCTCCATCCATTAATAGCTTCCTGTTAATATATCCCCCTGTACTGCTGGCAGTATGTCCTCTGGCTCACTCTATCGGAGGTCATTACAACAATTGTCGTCTCTTTTGTAATGTCCCTTGCTCAGTGACAGCACTATATCTACACATGCAACGCCGCATCTCTAACAATGACTCAATAAACACAGGGATTGAGAGAGCAGCAGCAGCAGCAGTCACGGGTTTTGCAGCAGAGATGATGAGAATCATGACACAGTGGGGTGGGCGGGATTAGAGGATGCCCACAGCCAATCAGAGGGAGCAGTATCACTAGCCTGCTCCCGCCCCACATTCGTAATGCAAGCATCGCTCCCTCTCCTCTACTTTGTCCTTCTGTGAGGTTGCTATAGTAACAGGCTCAGAATCCCAAGGCCTGGCGCTGAGCAGCATAGCATGTAGAGCAGTTAGCAGCAAAGCAGTGCAGTGTTGGCAGAGGTGACGTGGCCAACCAAAATGAATGAACACAATGGGCATTCAAGAGTTTGTAATTTTAGCTGGGGAGTGAGGGAATAAGCTCAACACACGGCAACACTTATAGGATGAAGCTTACACAAGATAACAACCAGAAGCTACAAGGCTAAAGGCAGGATGCTTACTGAGAGAAAGTAAGCTTGAACAATATGCCTTTATGATGAAAAAATAAAAATGCAACTCGTTCTCATTAAACTGTTTAATGCTATTGAGCAAGAGAGGACATTTTCACTGCTCCACATACAGTGAGGTTACATAAGAGATTCATCTACAGTTCATCATGTGTTAATCCTGTATGCTATCAAGGTTACACTAGTATAGGATTTGTATTCATTTTAGTATTTTTTTTTTATTGTTAGGATTTGGTTGTTTTTGTATTTTCTTTTGCAGCTTATTTTTCCTTTCAGTATCTGTATGAGTTGATGATAATAACCCTGAAGGGGATACATCTATAGTCACTACCGGATGACAATAAAGAAGAGAAGAACAATAATACAAACAAAATAATCTCCATAATGAATACAGATGTATTATTGAAATGTGTTATCTCTATGAAACCTGATGTACTTATATGATTCTGTTTTCTTCAAGTTTGTATCTTGAAGTGTATCTTGAAGTTTGTTGGTCGAACGCACTTATTGTAAGTCGCTTTGGATAAAAACGTCAGCTAAATGCAATGTATTGTTGTTTGTACTGATCACCAGCCACACCAGTGGTGGCTCTGGGAACATTTATCAATGACACAACGTGTCTCTTCTGATCGGTGAGACACGTGACTGTGATGTCATCACAACATGAAGATGCTCTCGATCAGACAGTTGCCTCCGTCTTCCTCATGCCACAGGTTACATGCTTAAATCAATCAATCACCACCTCTGTGATGTAACAGTGTGCACATGATCCTGTTAATTCATAAAGCTGTTATAAAATGAGAGCTCCAGGGAAAGATAATGTTAGACATGACCAGGAGTTTCATCAATGAAAACAAATACCTACTGCGTACAGCTGTTTTAAGATGGGTAGTGTGTATTTGATCAAAGACAAAAAAACACAGCTCCAGGGAAACATAGCTTTATGATCAGGATGAAACCAATATGACCCATCCTCATCCTTATTCATGGCTCTTTATGTGTCAATGACCGGCGATCTGTTTGAGGCAATATTGAGAAGCAATTTGCCTCCAGGATAAAAAAAAAAAAAGATACAATTTATAATGTAACACAACCTTGTCGTTGCCTCATAGGCTATGATGAACGTCAAGTCCAAAGTGACCGTGTCAGCATGGGGCGACAATGTGAAGTTACAGTTCTCCGTTAAGACTATTTTTAAGACGTTTGACCTATTTTTGGATGCTGTATTTGACCCTGAGTCACTTCTTAAGTAGACGTCAAATAGTAGTGAATAATTGATGTTGAAAAAAGAAAACACACTCTACGTCCCCTTGGTTTGTCGTACACGTGTTTTTATGTGAGCTTGTGTGCATTTGGCTCAAATTGTGTGGAAATAGTAGTGTGTGGGTAGCTCTAGTCTGATAAGATGAGAGCAGACAAATGCACAGACACACAACACAGGGCTGGGTGCAAGTGAAAGCAAAACATCAACCAGCAGAGAGAGGGGGACGCATCAAGTGTGTTTGTTGTGGCAACCGGTCAGCTGTCGCGCTAACACTGATGGGCAGCAGGCCATCTCTTGCTCTTTGATTTCTACTGGCTCAAGGTCAGAATACAGCTCAAATCTATCTCCTATCAAAGTTAAATCCTCAGTGTCACTCTCCAATAACAGTGTCCAGGAGGTTAAACCTAGAAATCTACTGATCTGTTCACCAGTGTCTGACATTAAGTATTAACGTGGCAAATTCAGCAACATATCAGGAAATATGAACAAAAGTTGTCTTTTTCTGATGTGACAGATTTTGTGATTGGACTGATATTGTTAGTAACATTTCTAATTAAACAGACAGTATGTGATGAACTTACAAAAGTATTTAAGGGTCTCCTCTATCTGTTCAGTAGTCAGCTCGAGGGCAGAGTCTGATTCCACCAGTGGCGTGTGCAGCCAATCATCTTGTTCGTAGCCGAAGACGGTGTCCGCCCTCAGCTTGTAGACTGGCAGCTGTTCCTCCAATAGGCTGATAATCTCGAGCTCTGGCAAATCAGTACTGTTACACACATCTGCAAAGAGGGAAACACGGACAATTTACAGTATTTCTCTTCACTTAGACAAAACCTTTCATGATTGATAATATTAGCTTATACAGGAATGAAAAATTATCATAGGCAGAATGCTATTGTTATAAATACCCTCGGTAATGTAAATGTGACAATTACTCTCCTCATTTTTAATACCCCTCAACAAGACATTTCATCAGACCAGTGGTTTTCAAACTGTGGGGACCCCTGGTGGGTCGCGGAGGTACTGCATGGGGGTCGAGGGAAGATTTTTTTATTTTATTATTTTCTCCTTTTAGCTTTGTGAAGCACCTTGAGATGACGTTGTTTTTTAAAGTGCACCTATATAAATCAAATGTATTGTTATTATTATTATTCAATTGTAAACAAACACTGCTCGAAAATATCTCATTGGTCAGAGAGCTGTGGGCATAATGCTGCCTTTTGCAACATCCTACTTGTGTGAAATAGGCTTTTCTTGCTGCCATCAAAACGAAATACAGATCAAAGCTGAACATTGAGAATGAACTGAGAGGGGCAGTCTCAAAGCAACAGCCCCGGTTTGAGAAGATCTGCGAGGGAAAGCAAGCACACACAAGTCATTGATAGGCTATGTGTGGAATAGGAATGGTAAAGTGATGTGATCGTTTGCAACCTGCAGTAGAAATAGTAGTTAATTAATATATTTTCCTTAAAGAAATTTGAATTTAAAAATCTACTACTCAGGGAAGAAGGCCAACCAGTTTTAATTAGGCCAAATTAATTCACAGTATCTATTACAAGCACTTTTGTTCATGTGTAATCCATAATAAAATATAAAATTATAGTTATTATTAGCAGAGAAAATGTAATGTTTTTACAACAATATACAATTAATCCTACCAATATAGATGGGAACCGGGTTGGGGGGTCCCGAAAATATTTCCAATACCCAAGGGGGTCCCGACTGAAAAAGTTTGGGAACCACTGCATCAGACCATTACAGCGGAAAGTATAGGCTGCCCTCTAGTGGTAAAGTGAGGCCTATACTATTCATTACTCACAAATCAAAACTCAAGGTTCAGATGAATTTGACTCGCTTTGTATCCTCACTTAAATGAATCAAACTCTATCTTGGATTAGTCCTTCCCCTTTAGTTGCATTGCTGCAGATTAAAATAGACTGCTATGTGTTGCATTCTGGCTGCAATTATGCACATTAGCCATTATTATTTAGACATATGTTTTCTCAGAAGTCAAGCATTCTTAAAAAACTACAGAGACAATTTTAAATGTCCAGTTATCAGAAAAACAGTTTCTGTTCCTTTTATTAACTCCCTATGGGGTTAAATAATAAAAGCTCTGCCGCCATCACAGGAAGTGCTCTTTGGCATGGCAGCTAAACCGGTCCACTAACTCTCTTAACAAAGTCAACAGCAGCCTCCCACTGAAACCACTGTGGAAAACCAAATCATCTTACCTAAGCTTTCAGCTATGTGCCTCTCTATTGAAACATCAGTCTAGTGTGCTATTAAAGGGGAATCCATTTATGACTCTGTTAACGTGCACTCTGCTCACACAGAATTGAGATTTCAGCTACTTTTTCTACAGAAATGTTGAAATTACAAGCTAAGAGAAGTAGCATCGAATCAGATTTAACATACAGTAACAAATAATGTCTCCCTCTATTTCTGTAGCTCTCTGCTGTCTGTCTCTCTAACAATGCTGTCTCTCACAGTTTGCTAATCCAGACTGAATGACTGGCTGTGCTGAAAAGCGCACACACACACACACACACACACACACACACACACACACACACACACACACACACACACACACACACACACACACACACACACACACACACACACACACACACACACACACACACACACACACACACACACACACACACACACACACACACACACACACACACACACACACACACACAACACACACACACACACACACAGGGGAATCTTTCAGGAAGCACAGCCAATGAGGTTTCAACTGACAAGTCAGTACTGAAATGCAAAGGCAACCAATGCCAGCCATTAGGAAAGACATTTTATTGTTAATCTAAGTTTTATAATAAAGTGGGCCCTTAGAATAACGTGACGATGCTCAGAAGAGAGCCTTATCATTGTATTAGGCTAATTTTACATATGGTTTTCTGTGACTGGACAAAATAAACACAAGTTTGAGCCTACTTACTGGGTAAATACAGCATTCAAATGTTTACTTTTTTTTGGAAAAGCAAGTATTTTCCTATTGACAAGTATCTAATGTGTGTTGTTTGCTGTATTTGGTAAAACAATTATTGTTTTCCAACTGCAACCTCTCTGTTTGAGCTACTTTTCACCCATCTTTGCACTAATCTAGTTTTCAGTCATTTAAAGATTAGATTTCTGTTCTTAAATAGAAACAATGTGGCTAAATAAGTTGCAAAGATTGCAAAAAAAGTTAATCAGGACTGTCCAAAGGGCAGAGTCAACCGACAGCTGTGTTGTTGACTTGTGTTCTGCTTTGAGACAGTCAACCCTTTTAAAGACCACCAGTCACTAGCAATGCAAGGACTACCTTACATCTAGCAGGAGAGTAGTACAACTATGAACTTACTTGTTTTTTGCTAAATAAATGTATGAAAGTAGTATTTTGTAGAAAACTATGAGTTTTGTCCCTTGGAAACATTTCATGTTATATTGAGGATCAATAAACAAAGTGAATATAAGACCAAAAGAAGTTCAAGTCCAAGTCTGATAATCAAATGTAAATATAGACTGCTGGCACAAAGAACACAACGCGCAGGGTCATGGCAACATTAGCAGCAGCTAGCAGCCACCAGAGAAAGAAAGTTCAAGTGCAAGAATAGACTACTGTCAATATGAGCAGAAACACACATGTCAACCTGTGCAGAGGACACAGAGTGAGAAAGAGACAAGTGTCAAATTCAAGAGATCAAGGCATTATGTGGGCTAAGCACTAGAAATGTACTTATCATAATCCAAAAAGACAAAGAAATTGGTTTAAAGATATGAATAAAAACATACAAATAGTGCTTGTGGTTAAACAGAACTTGCTTACTTGCCTCCTAACAGTTAACCCACACTTGTAGCAACACTGCACATAAAGTATCACTGGACTGAGTGAGAATCAAAACTAGGTTAATTAAGACAAGAATTGTTATACTGTAGAAGCACACAGGCTTGATTCATGTTGTTAAAATGTTGCTAAACTGAAGTACAAATGTAAAGTCCAATACCTCTTTTGTCCAACATGGCTGCCTCCTGTCAACTATAACAGTACAGTGGGTAAGGCAAGAGATAGTTACAGAGCCAAGTTGACCTTTCTACAATACACTTATTATAAACCTTTACAAACATCTCCTTAAACAGATCATGTAGAGTTTAAAGTTGTATGTTCTCTGATAAGCTTTAAGGTTATTTAACATGACAGCACAACAGTTAACATGTTAACCGAATCCCTGTAGCTCCGTTAACTTCACAACATCTGATTCCCAGACAAACAAAGGGAACACAGAGGCAGCGAGATAAGCTCTGTGTCACCGTGTCTTAGCCAGACTCGTGACTAGCTGAAAACTGTCAGAAACCCACGCTGTGCACAGTGTACTCACTCATGGTGCCTGAAGCCCGACAACCACCAACGTTACTGCCCCCCAATCACATTTTCCACTGAACGGGGAGAAGGCAAGGTCGCAAGAAGTAACCCGGAGAGGAGGGAGAGAAAGAGAAAGATTGTTGGGAGGGTGAGAGGCCGGAAGAACTAGAGAGAGAGGGTGCTAAAAGTTTTAGAGGACGGCATTGGGTTGAAGAGACAGAGAGAGAAAGACAGGAACAGAGGGAGGGAGGAGTTAAGAGGAGAAGAGACCCGAGCCAAACTGGTTCGTCATGCCTGACATGCCAATGACGATAGCCACATGGCCCGCCCTGCAGCTTGCCCCCCACCCCCTCTCTCTTCCTCTCTGACAGCCCAGCTGGACTCTTCCTTTGGGCTGTACACACAGTCACACACACACACTCTCTCTCTCTCTCCCTCTCTCTCTCTCTCTCTCTCTCTCTCTCTCTCTCTCTCTGCTGCTCCAGTATAAACACTTTAGCAGCAGGCCTGAAGCTGCTCCTGTAACTGTTTGTCTTCCTAGCTGCCCCACAGTCTATTTAAAAAGGTACATGTAGAGACTCATACCTGATGAGAGATACTAATGAAGTAGAGAATGAAAACTCTTTATAACTGCGGGATCAACAGGTCATGTGACGGATCCAGCCCATTTAAAGCCGTAATCACACCCACAACACAAGCAAAGCTGCAGCAGAAGAACTGCCAAAAACCCACTCAGTTTTCTCTTTGTAATCCTACAGATCCCAGTGTGTTTTGCAATCAAATGCACCTGATAAGTGAGTTTGTTTTTAAGCTTGGAAACTACACTAATCAGTTTATAATTATTAGTTACAAAACATCCTGTTTAAATAGGTTGGGTATATCAAGTTCATACATTTCATATTATTGCAAAGTAATGGTAGATGACTAAAAGGTTGTATTTTAGAAATGTTGGGTACCTATTCTTTAATTAACTTGTGCTTGGATTCATCCACCACCGCTGGGTATTAACACAGACAATAGATACAGACAAGGTACCAGATGCAAAATTAGTAGAAGCTAAAGGACAGAAAGCATAGCGACAACGACAATCCAGAGAATTATTCTGACTAATGTGAATGTGAAGAATTCTGTTGTTCAAATATTTTTGAAAGGATTCCTTGAGAGAAGGTCTTCTTTAAAAGGATTCAATCTATGAAAAACACATTTTGAATTGTTTGAATCCGGCACTGTATGAGCATGCTGCTTTCCACACAACCTTAGTACATATCATGACAAAAGTCAATAAAAAGAATGGCCTGACTATGAACTTGAATCCACTAACACGTCCCCCATTGGAGCCATTCAAACAAATACCTCAGTACTGTTCTTATAGAGCTGCAGCACAACCCTGTCCAGAATTAG